GCGCTGAGGGGCGCGTCATCAAGTTTGAGCGCGCTGACGTGTGCGAGGGCCTGGACGGGTACCGCCACTACAGTTATAACGCAATCATCGACAAGGCGAGTGAGCGGCTGGCGTTGGGACGCTAGCTTCCATATTTGCAGGAGCTGGGTTGGGCTGCACAGTGCAAACAAGTTTGTAGCCCGAGCAGCCGCCAACACTGTCCCTGACAGTGGTGATGTTGGCGCCTGCTGATATCCACTCGGGTATACTGAACGCCTCCGCACCCCCTGCTTCACATCCCTGCAATTTTGATAAAGGGGACGCTCGACTGCCTCCTGTGCTGCGACGACGGGGAGCAGGGCGCCAGGGCGGCGCTGCGCAACCTGCATGGTGCTCTGCGGGCCTCAGGCACTCTCATCGTCGTGTCCCACTCGCCGCCTGAATCGCGCCTGCCTCTGCTGCACAGCTGCGAGTGGGAGAGCGTCCAGGTGCCGGGGGCAGCGAGGCGCTGGGAGCGCTGCTTTCATGCCGACCCGAGTGTCGCAGCTCGTGAATGGTAGTATTGTCTCTGCATGCAAATGATATGGACGAACTCCGCAGCAGCATGCATGCGGTGACGTGTGATATACAACATCCCGCATCTGGCTCCATTTGCAGGTCAAGGTGGTCCTGCCGCCTGCACTGGCCGATGCAGCAGCCGGCCGCAGCGGGACCGCCTCAGTCCTGGACTATCGCGATGATGGCGCGCCTCTTCAGGCTGATACATCTGCAGCGTGCAGCTATGTTTATGTGTGCCGCAAGCCTTACTAGTGATGTGGCGTTCGCACTTGTCCATGGCGGTGTACTGTACAGGGCGGAGGTTGAAACTCGAACTGAAGGCCTCCGCTGTTACGCGGCCGAATCGCCATAGGCCCATTTAGAAGTGATTCGATCTCGATTGCAATTTTGTTTGATACATCGTTGCAGCTTCATCAGCTGTTCGCGTCAGCAAGAGGCGCAACCTGTTCACCGCAGCACTGCACCACCAGCCTGGGCGATATGGCGCGGACGGGGATCTACTGCGCATTATTCCTGGCTATGGTCGTAGCGGGTGAGGATTGAGAGCAGCACAGGCCGTAGTGCTTGCCCGAGCGATGGAAGGCGCGCTTGCCGGGCAGCTTGCCCGCGTTCACAAATCCTCCTGCACCATGTCATGTTACAAACAATCATTTCATACCGCATGGGCGCAGCACACGCTGCGGCGCACCCGAGGGCGCACCCGAAGCCGCTGGTGTTCGAGACGTTTTATGAGGCGCTCAACAAGGTGCCCAACACCAACAAGGGCAAGATGATCGTGGACGGCCTCAAGTTGCAGCCCACCCTCAGCAACCCTAAACTGGCGCTGACGGTGTTCATGCCAGAGGACAAGGTGCGGGAAGGGGGCGCTGCAGTCGGCAACCAGAGCACACAAAGGCAGCAGCCACCGGCGCAGCATGAGCATGAGTGCGAAAGGGTGTGGGTGCTGAGAACACAGCCATGTGCAGAGCATGCTAGTGACCTGGTGCTTGTGGGTGCCCAGGCTGCATGTGGGCAACAGTTTCGCAGCTATGGGTGTCACACCCCGCGCACAAGCTCCTCCCAAATGACGCCGTCATCAACCGCTATGACAGCCCCCAAAACCGGCCCATTTGGGGCCCCAGGCTGCATGACAACGCCCCCAACTCGCCCCTGTTTTGTGCCAATGCAGTACTTTGACGCGCTCTCCCGCAAGCTGAATGTGAACCCCAACTCCATGGGCAAGAACGTCGGCCTTATGAAGCAGGTGTGCTCAGCTTCCCATGCCCCCCGGCCTGCATGCGCCGCGGTTTGCGAAAGCAGAGGCCAAGCACACCTGGTACGGTGGCACTTGCGGCGAGAGTTCCGTCGGCATCGCCGCACTCATCATGCGCTGGCCTGCTGCGCTGGCCTGCAGCGCTGGCCTGCTGCGATGGCCTTGGGCCGGGGCTGGGCTCATAGCCAGCGCTGCAGCTGTGGTTGCATGCTGGAGGAGCTCTTTCTACACGGACCTGATGCTTTTACCAGCTCCTTGACAGTGAATCAAGACAGAGGATCTGACCCACATCCCTGACACAAAAACCGCCCGCAACCCGTCCATTTGCACGCAGGTGCTGTTCTACCACTTTGTGACTGGCAGCGGCGGCGAGCGCAAGCTGTTCACCACCAAGGACCTCAAGCCCGGCATGAAGCTCGATTCCATGTGAGAATGCGCAGCGGAGCGCTCGCAGCCTTACATGGTTGTCAGCTCCCAAGTAATCAGAGAAGCTTCCTTGCGGGGCGACCGCGGGACGCTGTAACAATCCTAATCCGAATCCGAATCCGAATCCTTGCAGCCGTGACATGCACGCCCCCTGGCTTCAGGCTGGCTTTGACTGCGGGCGGCCGGCTCGAGTTGTGCACATGCACGAGCAGCACGTAGTATCACACACAATAGCATATTGCCTCTACACGTGTGTATACGCAGGTACATTTCTTCCACAACCAGGAAGCCGTACCAGCTGGCCGTCAGCGAGAACAAGGGCAAGATCCAGATCAGATCTGTCGGCACCAGCGCTTACATCATCAAGCCCAACATCAGGGCGGGCGCGGGCGTGGCCCACATCATCAACAACGTGCTGATCCCCATGACCATCAACCAGATCCCGCGTTTCTAGGCTGTGCTTATTGCGGATGCTTGTTTTGTGTGCTGGCTAGCTAGTTGAGTTGGGGCTGGTTTGTTTGGTCCAGCCAGCGTGGTGGGTGGTTGATCGCGTGAGATTATTTGTTATTAATTCTGGGAATGCCGTTGGAGAACAAGCTGTCAATGCTCTCTTCACTTGCCTGCATGGCGCCTTTGCCGCAACGCAAAGCCTTTTTTTGGCCCAGCCCCTGCTTTTCAGGCAATGCAGCTGCCGGATGACTTGTGTGGTGGCGCCATGGACCACTGGCAAATGCATTCTTGCGTTCGTTAGCGCTTATGCATTTTGTAATCAGGCTTCTGCATGAGGAAGCGGAAGTTCATTGACCGATGACGTGTGGTGCATGTGCACACGTGCCCGCGCACGCAGATAGCGTGCTGTAGCACGACACACACATGTGTGACCTGCAACCTGCCAAAGACGATGCGATGCACGCGACAGGCATACTTTGGGCAATCAAAGAAGCCTTTCAGCAACTTCAGCATGCAACGGTAGCTTGTCCCTGCACCGCTTGACGGCTGCGTACCGTAGTCGGTCATCTTACGTCACCGTCCACCTCCAACCACCATACCTGACCAGCCCCAAGACGACTCGCCATCCCCGATGGAGCAAAACAATATATTCTGTATCCTATGATCCAGCGTTGCACGGCAGGCTCTCCTGACAGCCCACGCGAATCCTGGCTCCGGCAGGTTCGCGTCGGCTGGAGTGGCCAGGTCGTCATAAGGCCACAAGTACACCTTCTAATATTCAATCACTCTTCAAAAACACTTCTTTGAGTCATCTTACACTGGCAACAAGCAAGAAATTTGCACCGGCATCTCCTTGGCACGCTCCTTGACAGCAACTGTGCCTGCAATGGCTGGCTCCTTTGGCCTCGTGCTTCTGGTCCTCTGCGCCACGGTCTCAGTAGCAAATGCTGGTGAGCAAACCTCTCCGCACCCCACCCCACGCTGCCATGTCAACGGCGCGGCAGCGCGCTGCGGCTACGAGCAGCTGGCCGAGCAAATGCAGCGGCGCCGCGCGGCTGCGAGCACAGCAGCAGCGCGCGACGCGGCTGCCAGAAGGCTGCAGACAGATGCCCGTCACGGCGCGCCTGTCCGCCTTTCCTGTGTTACCCCCCATCATGCCCCCCCC